CGCCGAATGAAACAATCCGCCACGCTCCGGCAGAACCACCAGGAGAACCTGAAGAGATTGAACCGGGTTGTCATTTACATGGTTATCTACCCGCTTGTCTATCTATTGCTATCCCTGCCGTTGGCCGCCGGACGCATGTCAACGGCACGCCATATCGTCCCCAGTCGCGCATACTTTGCCGTTGCTGGTTCGCTGATGGCGTTGTCTGGTTTCGTCGATGTGCTTGTGTACACGCTCACTCGCCGCCACCTGTTGCTCGAAACCGAACTCAGTACTACGGATCGGATGTACAACTACACGGAATCAAACGCATACCAGACACACATCACCACGGGTCGGGATGGCAAAAAATTGCGGACGGGATCCCGATTCCGGCGGGGCATGGGGATGCAGAGCATCAACGACACGGTCCGAGACGACCGCGATTCATCTACAGATGATATTGTGCGCAAGACGGACATGGAGCTGGCCGAGTTGGGCCACGGAGTGTACCAGGAGACGACGATCGAGATTTCGCACGAGCCAGCGGAACCGGAAGACTTTCAGAAGGGAGGTCGCCACAGCGGGTGATTGTGGATGGTGGAGATTCAGCAAGTTGGTCGGAAGGCTGTGCGATTTCATTACCACTTTACATTCATTTCGATACCTTTATTTCTTTCTTTCCCTTTTTCCTTTCCTATCCCATTCTTTTCCATACACTATGCAACGATCCCTGTTACGAGAGACCCCATGACAACTCACTATATCTAAGTATATACATACTATACTAATTGAAGATAATCACTAATTACCTCTTGACGAAAATCCTCAGCTCCCCTAAAAGATTGACATGAACTAGTCCGACGAATAATTACCTTCAATTTCAGCCAAATACGCGTAGCATCCACCACACAATACGAAGCGTCCGTGAAGCCCTTCCTCCAGCCAATCAGCACCTCTCGCGCGCCTCCAGCATAAAGATCAGCGCCTACCATCCCCACTTAGATCGAAGCTTGAGCGAGCCGGTTTGGGGGGAAAGGAAGTCCCCACAGCATCGGATCGCGTAGCTAAGGTTTCTTAGCTTCATACCCACGCGAGACTGCTGATTTGTTTTTTTTTTTTTTTCCCTCCTTCTCGTGCGAGTACCAGCCTGTGGAAGGGTTATGTTCGGCCCCAGGTCCGCTTTTCTTGAGTTGCCCAATGGAGCAATTTCTGTTTCGGTGTTAGTCACTTACCTCCTGCTCTTTCTTACTGGTTGGTCATCTCTTTGGTTTGTTTCATTCGTTTAACTAGACCAAGGACTCGCTCCTCCTAGGAACCTTCGAATTGTTCCGTCATACTCCAACTGGGTTGATGGATGGATAGTCCAGACATTCTGAGGTTTCCTTCTCGGCAGTTGGAAGGAGAATGCTGGAACTTTGGTTGAGTAGGAGGGACATGCCGCTTTGTACCAGTGGTACAGGTAAAGTTTGCTGCTCCTTTATCCGAAAAGGAAATAGTATTGAAGATAGAATCCGTACGTAGACTAGTACTGTGTAGAGACACTGTCGGCCGGAACCCTGAGAATCCGACACAGGGGATGGATGGGATAATGTTGGAAGTTTATTACTAGGGAAGATTGTACTATGTAGTATTTACTTTTTGTATTTGGGTTTGGCTAGAATATTTCCATGCAGGAGGGAATTGCCTTTTTTTTTTTTTTTTCTACACAGTTGAAAACACTAGTAAGACTAAAGTTGACTATACTAACAGCCTGCCTAAAGTAGTATGATACTGTCGTTCGTTCATTCGCCACTGTGAGAGAGAGACCACCACCACCTTTTATTATTAATTACAACACTGCCACACCACAATTATCTATACATGATTACTACCACCTTCTACATATGTACTCATCAACAACATCCAAAAACATAGTAAATAAACGAACAATTACCCGAACTAACGCCACAACAGCAATATTAAGCGACTTGGGAACTTATCCTTCCCGCCATGTCCGCCCTCGCGCTTAATCCTTCTAGATTTCTACGCCCCCAAAAGTAAATCCCCACCGGGTCAATATAACCCATTCCCCATAGCAATCTACGTAACGCAAGCCACACCACAACCGAGCAATTCCTTAGTATATGCAGGCAGGCTGCCATTTCCACCAGTAACTAGTCTACTACAGTACTACTACTATTACTACTTACTTAGTAAGTTAGTAGAGTGTAGTCTAGTCTAATTTCCGACGGGATTGAATTGAATTGGATTGGAATTAGATGAAATGATGAACGTCAAAGATCATCCCGAGGTCGCCGGGAACTCACTCCGTCTTCCCTTTTACCCCCGTAGGATTCTTCCTTCTCCCCGACGGGCGTGCTGCATGCCAAGGCTGATTTACTTTGAATGCTCCTGGTTCTTAGACAGAGACTACAAACTAGTAGATAGTAGAGGGAGCTAGACTAGAGGGGAGGAACTAAAGTAGCTTAGGTTCGGGATATCGGGGATTTGGAAAACGGGTGCTAAAGGGGTAAGCTGCTAGCTATCTAGATGGTAGTTGGGGACTAGTGGTTTTTGTTTGTATTGGGATTGTTCTTGGTTTGTTCTTTCGTGGTTAGTTTGGCTGGAGTATATGGAGTACTTGGGAGTTTTGCATGTGTTTAATTGAGGTGATGTGAGTAGTTGGTCTCTGAAAAGAGAAGAGTGTCTATCAGGAGTAGCGTGTAGACTGTTATCATGATGAAATACCGTCTCTTCCAGATACTTTGGACTTGGTACTGTTAGATTGTATATTTTGGGCACTATAAGCACCGATTGTTAGTAAGTAGACGGGATGTAACCTAAGCTTGATATGTATCTGCTAAAGGTTGACTGTCTAAGGCTTCGGAAGTATATGGTTTAGTTGCAGGAGATTATAGCACACTCTTCTATAGTAGTCGACCTTGTTTTCTAGCCATTGGTGGGAGGAGTCGTACTTGTGTCTTGTGGTGTTGTCGATCATCCTACCTTGTTCTCGTTGCTATTCAACCTTGTAGTAGTACTTTTGACTAGTTGTTATAGCAGTGTGCAACACTGCATGCATGCATAGCTGTCACCATGGACAGCCCTAAACTATTAATTCTCTGTATACTATTATATCGAACTCTCCAACACCCCCTCTTAACTTCCAGCCTTATTACAGCTTTGACACCCAAGCCAATATTCCCATATACTCCATGATAGAAGTCTTAGCACAGCAACGTCCAACCAAGCTTTGTGGCCTTTCTGGGCATAAGCAACAAGCTCTACTACCAAGAACCTGAAGCGAGTCATGACCCGAGTATACCAAGAACATGTACCAAACTACAACTACAACTTTACCCATAGCACCCTATATAGATACACCATGATCCATCTTGTCTGCTTCAATTATTAAATTCCACTGACTACTACATAACATCCGCCTCTGAATCCATCATTTCTCCCCCGAATATGCTGCTATGTACTCTATAAATCCAGCTACAAAGCACACGAAGAACATACTTAGTCTAAATAGCATGCAACAAGCCAATACCATCCAATAAAAAAAATGATCCATTAATAACAATAAACTTATAATAAGTCATACACAAGAGATACAAAAAGTACCTTTCTCCCTAAAATAGGCACCAACGGTTTTACATATTAAAAACGTCACACAACATTACTATATTCAACCCCCTCATCAAAGTGAGACAACCAAGTTCCTCCGACCAACTCCACTTAGACAGACTACTACTACTTAGTACTTACCCGCTTTGTCTCTCCCCGCCATGGATGGATACATATAGAAACATGACCAACTCATTAGATACTAATGAAGTAGTACTTTTGACAGCTGACAGGGTGTTGTCTTGGATCGCTCCGCCCGTTCTACTTATATTAATTGTCTTGCGCCGTTGCAATTTGGGCGTGGAGGTCTTACTCATTAGATGGATAAAAGTCGAATTTACTAATAGCATAATTACTAGTAAGTACTTAGTAAGGAATATATTACCATGGAAGTGATGATGTTTTGGGGCCTTGAATTGAGGAGAAAACACTACTAAAGTACGGAGTACATACTGTTGTTCCACATCTACTGACATATAAATATTGTTATCCCTTATACTACTTTACATAATGGATAGGTAGGTAGGTAGTCTAGGTATCTAGTACTTGGCAAACAGCAGTTGATAATAGCATCAATTTTCTACTCGAGTACCTACTTCAAGCCATCAAGCTAATTATGTATTTAGCTATTACAGGATTCAATATTTGGCCAATACAGAAGCAATGAGATAAAAAGCAACTAATAACTTACTTTTAGTTTATTAGCAACATCAATAGTATACCGGTTAGCTGACTTACTGGAAATCTAAGTGTCATTTAGTTTCTACTGGTGGCTGCCACTATTTAAACCGTTGGAAGGATTCACACTAGTTATTTAAATTGATCTGCGAGGATTGAAAAACATCCAATACGCGCCATATGGTTGATGATGAGCTCAATTATTGCGCTTATCCTTTATTATCATCATTGTTCTCCTCCGTATTGTTCATCTCTTCTCTTCTTGTACTACTATAAAAGCAATAGGGGGTGGGAATATAGTACTCAGGGGTAGTGAAAGAGTGTGTGATAGGTTACCCGAAGAAAAAAAGAATCACTTATATTTGAGGGAAACCGTTAATGGCTTCAACTACGTTCACTAGTCGACGTTGAGATCGTCGCTATCTACAGAGTAGTACTATTGACGAAAGTCTTTTTGTACTTTGCAGCGATCTGACCGCTGCGCTTATGCATGACTTGCAGCCAGGCTAGAAGTAAGCATATGGCTATTGATCCCGCGTGTCGCAACGGTCGGCGAGCGTCGTTTCGCCGTTATCTCGATCGCGATCATCAAGACAACTAAAAGACAGTGGTCATGCGAAATTACACCTGAGTTCTGCAGGAAACTTATTCGACTTTGTCAACAAGGTGTAAGGTGAGCGAGTACATTGCAAGAAAATGTCACTAATATTGGTTCATCAGGGTATAAACATCTAGCTCTGCTCTGACGGAAGTGGGCGTCTCTTGATCTTGAATTCAGGTCGGGCTGGTTGGTCTTCGCTTCCTTCGGAAACCTCCATGCGCGAAAGTCGATCCCTCGTCTCCTGTTCAACCTCAGCATGCAATGCTTCCTCTTCGGTTCCATCGCCATTGTCCAACACTCGCTGTGCCGACTCGTCGCCCTTCACCCCTGCGCGACGCTCGTTTTGGATCCGTTCCTGCTCCTGCTTCTTGTCCTTCACTGCCAATGCCGCCTCCTCACGAGCCACCTCCTGTGCATCTACACTCTGCAGGCCAACAAGACCCAAAATGCGCCCAATGAGAAACTGATAGCGCAAGTGACCGCTGACGGTCTCGCTGACGTCCAGATTCTCAACGCCGGGCACGTCCTGAACAGGCTGGAGACCTGCCACGCCGAGTTGCAGACTGCTGGTTCGGTAAAGAAGAGCAAGAACGGCGTCGTTCTCCGAGTACACGTTGATCAGCCGACCGCTAACAACGCTCCGGAGACGCCGCCAGTGTGGTGCATTGGACGGAGTAGGTGACCCCATTAGAATTGCCGATTCCACCAGGTCGTATGCGCCCCGCTTCGCCAGACTTTGCAGACAGGAGAAGATGACACGAGAGCCCATCGAGTAGCCTATCAGTGTGACGGCCCGCTCACCCTGAACCTTGCTGATCAGCGCATCCGCAAGGACCTCGCCCGCTTTGTCTGCGCGGGCTTTGGCAATGCTGAACGGGTTATCAGCCACACGGGCAACCTTGAGAAGACCAAGAGGAAGCATCACGGCGCTCATGATCTGCGCGAAGATGGTCCGGGAGAGCACCTGCCCACCCGCTGCCCAGGCAGCGCTTGTAACCAACAGGTTCATAGCATTTCCAAGCTTCATCAAAGGCTCTGTTTCCCAGCGCAGGCCGAAAACCTCGGAATCGGCTCCAATGACTCGCCAGGGGACAACAAAGTTGTCCTCTTCAGTGACCCAGCCGGTAATACCGATCGTGACTCGGAGCATGTGATCATTCTGAGCTGCTTCCCTTTCGTCTTCAGACCTTTGCCGAGAGCCCCGAATAGGTAGGAAAGCAAAATCGTCCACCTCACGGGCATATTTGTCGACCATGCGTCCCGTCATCCGACCCCCGTAGGCACCGAAAAGACCACCCACGATTACTCCACTACCTGCAAGGGCACCTAGATACCCTGCAGCAGCCGTAGCACCCAGGCCTAGGCCTCCCAAGACTGTGCCAAGGCCAGCTGCAACCAGCGGTGCAGCAAGTCCGCCAGTGATGCCGATCAGTGCAGCTCCTGCCACAGAAGCTATGCCAACCTTCCATTTCCTAGAGGTGTCACGTTTCTTTTCTTGGCCTTCTTCCGCATTCGCGAGCTGAAGAGCAGTGTCAAGCAATCCACGTGCGACCTTGCTCTCATCACCATTGAGTATAGTGATATCGAGATTCAGACTTGACGCTACATACAACATTAGAACTCGCGAGCGAGCATTGTAGTGCTCAAGACTAAGCATCAGAAGTAGTAGCGAATGGAGAATCAGTAGTCGTTTAGCCTTGGGTAGCTGCGTAAGAGGAGTCTCAACAGGTCGGTAGACCTCGCAGAGCTTCTTCAGAGAGCCTTGGTCCTCGTCTATTTCCGGTTCATGCAATTGTTGAGGTGGGTCTGATTCACTGAGGTCTTCTTCGGATTCCTCATCTCGGTTCACAACTTCACCAATCCTCAGTAGGACCGAGTCTCTCCAATCATCAAAGCTGGTCAGGGACTTGGCCTCTGATTTGAGATCCTGTGCGGTGGGCTTGTATTCAGAATGAGTAGTCACAGCTGTTGCTTCCTCACTCTGCGCATCCGACTGAACAGACAGGGGATCGGTGGCCTTGTCCTGTTCATGTGCTGCTTGGTCACGTGAGGGGTCATTCTCCTTCGAGATTGGACCGTGGAAGTTCTGAACGATCGCAACTCGCATGTGTTGAGTAATTTCCGCAACAAGAACTGTCAGGTCGGCTCGCTGAGGCCGATCCAAGATGGTGGTCAAGTCTTGGTCGCGGTCGCTCTTCGGCGGAGCGGGCGAGGGCGAGGGCCCGGACCCGAACTTGCTAGCATGCTTTTCCTTAAATGACTTCCACATATGTGCAGATGGCCCCAGAGTCACGTTCCAGAATGGATTGATTTGACTGGCCTTCCGTCTGCGCTACAGATGGTTCGTGGAGGAACTTCACAGGTTGCACAGAGAATAAGGAGGTTGTCGGTTTCAGCATTGGCAATGAGATCATGGCTGACTCAGCGCCCAGACCATCAGCGTGCAACAGTAAAAACCGGGCTCGATATTGTGGTTTCCTCTCAGACAGGCTGGACCCAACTTCAGGACAGCTTAGCTCACGCTGACTTTCCCGTATCGACAATGAAGAACTTCCCCTTGGTCTTGGACGCGTAGGCAAGCGCGTTTCCATCCCAAGTGTCTCCATCGGGCCGCTCGTTCCTCGGACTCTCCACTCGCTGGATTCTCTTGTTTCGACCAACCACTCTCTCCTTGGACAAGGCCTCTCTCAGCTTTTCCAGTCCAATTGTATTCTCCTGCACCGCTTCTGGACTTTCGTCCCGGATGCTCTGCAGAGGCTCCACGCCAGTGGCATCGATGCGCTGGACCTGCTTCACAAAGTGAATCTGGGATTCGAGCGTTTCAAGCATCTTCTTCTCTTCTTCCTCGGTCGCGGGTTGTGGGAGAGCCGAAAGACGGAGCAGATGGCGGAGTTGCGCTGAGGTCACTGATGGAGCAGATGGATTGTCGGATTCTTCTGGTAGCAACGAGCGAACAGACCACGTAGGCTTCGCAAGCATGGCGTCAATGTCTGCGTCGCCTGACTGGGAGGCAGAGTACATGCGCCTGGCGGTGCTGCACCGTAAAGGTTGACGACCGATCAACGCAGACAGTCGGGGGAGAGCTGCATGGAGGAACATGTTTGAAGAAACCCTAGCAGATGCAGGAATATATACTTAATAGATAAACAATAAAAGAAACGAACAATTGGAGGAACTGTTTCCGTTTGCGACAGTCAAGATGCTATAGAAATACTGACAGAGAAGCAAGAAAAGAAGCACGTCCAATGGACCGGGCGGAAAGTGGCCACCGCCTACGTTGACGGAGCGGCGGGGAGCTCGCCATTCCGCGAGGCTGCCCAGTAAACTAGATCCATCCTCCCATCTTTTCTCCTCATCTTCCAGACATTCATCCCCACTTCTCTTTACCTGCAATTTGACCTCTAGCATCACTCCCCTATTCACCTGCTCGGGCCGACAATACCTTCACAAAATGGCCCAAGATCCCCGAGTTCTGCTCCAACGAGTAATCTCCCCCCCAGAACCCCGCTGTCCATCATCGCTATGCTTGGAATACGACGATCGCTAACCCCCATGACGTACATTAGGCCGACAAAGCGCTCAGCAGCGCATCTGGTGGCTTCAGCTTCTTCGGCGGAAGGACAGAGAAGTACGAGAATGCAGCTGATCTCTACACACAAGCTGCGAACGCCTTCCGAGTGCAGAAGCAGAGTAAGCCTGTGATTCTCTACCCTGTCTCAGATCAACGAGCGCTAACCCATCGCCAAACGATCAGACAAGGAGGCCGGCCTTGCCTTCGAGAAGGCTGCCTCTATTCAGACCCAGAACCTCAACGAGCCCGATGATGCAGCAAACACCCTGACCGAAGCGTTCAAGGTCTACCGCAAATCCGACCCCGAGGACGCCGCTCGCGTGCTCTCCAGTGCTATCCAACACTACGTGCTAAAGGGTAACCTCCGGCGCGCGGCCACGCAACAGCAACATCTGGCCGAGGTGTACGAGGTGGAGCTTGGAGATACGAAGAAGGCGCTGGAAGCCTACGAGAAAGCGGCGGAGTGGTTCGACGGTGACAATGCTGAAGCGTACGTCCAATTCTCGGCCTTCTCATATACAATTCTATACTGACGTGTTGTTCTCCAGTCTTGCCAACAAGCACTACCTGAAGGCAGCAGACCTGGCCGCTCTCGAAGGCGACTACTACAAGGCTATCGAGCACTACGAGCGGATCGGCCGCTCATCGATCAACAACAACCTGATGAAGTGGTCCGTCAAGGACTACTTCCTCAAGGCTGGTATCTGCCACTTGGCGACCAATGTACGGCTGTCCCTCTTCTTTATACCTTTCAGAAATAACTTTCAGACATAACTAACCCCACACAGGACCTGGTAGCCGCCAACAGAGCCCTCGAGAACTACCGCGACATCGACACCACCTTCGCTTCCACAAGAGAGCACCAGCTCCTCGTTGACCTGGTCCAGACTATCGAAGCCGGCGACCAGGAGGCATTCGCCGACAAGCTGTTCCAATTCGACCAGCTCAGCAAGTTGGACAAGTGGAAGACGACTCTACTGTTGCGGATCAAGAACAGTATCGAGGAGCAGGGCGAGGATTTCTCTTAGACTTATTCTATTCTATTCTCTTCTATTCCCAGCAACAATATCATCGTTTTCTCTGTTTTGCTTCTGATCTGTTCATCCATTCGTTCGTTCTTGTTCTTGGTGGATTAGTTAATTGGGCAGACTTTATAACTGTGTTCCCTACCTTTCCCCCATTGGCTGGTCCCATAGGTAGATGGATGCTGTGCCGTCGTATAATTGGTTGCGGTTTGTATTGTTTTTTTTTTTTTTTCCTTTTGTGCAAAGATATACTGTGTCCTTGGCTTGCCTGTCTTTCCTGTCCTGTCCTGTTCTATCATAACTATAGCTGCTATTGGCATAGGTTTGCACCCGCCGATGGATGCGTGACATGCCTTACTGACAGATACTATCGATGTTCGTGAATGAAGAACAAAAGTGTCGCCTGATTGCATTCGCTAGTATCGTAGACTACAACGTTTTATTGTACTGTATTAAACGCTTAGTTCTAGGAGTAAATTGAATAGACGAGACAAGTTGCACCACTCAAGTCAAATCAAACCAGGTACTAAATTCAAGCCGACTGTATCCATCTATCTATCCATCTATCGAACCACTCATCAACAAATGATCATCATAATCAATAACAGTTCATCAATTCATGCCGAAGCGAACTTTTGTGGTATCATGAGTAAGTATGTGAAGTATGTAATGTATGTAAGTAAAATATCTCTATATCGTTCCTGCATGCCATGCCGTGCCATACCCGAAAACGGCTTCCCAAAGCAAGCGCGAACAGACAACGGCACAACACGAGCTCCAATATCATCTTCAGTAGACCACATCCTCCAGAGCGCGAGCTTTGCGAGGGAAAACCCGCTTGTACAGACTGATACCGATAGAGTCCTGGGGGTTGATCTTGGCGTCGAAGGTAGCCTTGAAGTAACCGTGCGTACCGAGAGATTCCTTGATGTAACCACTGCGGCCGCGTCTGGTCCAGAGCTGGAGGGCCTTGAACCACTGGATGTCCTCTGGGTTGAAGAACATGTAGCGGACGGTGACGACGCGCTTGTGGATCTTGTAAGGGTGGCCGGTGAGAATGGCGCGCTTGGCGACAACGCGGGACTGGTCGGGGGCCACGATGGTACCGTTTCCGATAAGTTCGAGGTTGTCGAAGTTGTTGAGGGAGTCGTCCTCGGCGGAGTCCATGACCTCGGGGTCCTGGTTGGTCTTGTTCTTGAAGACGAGGACGGGCACAGCGCCCCAGGTCAAAGGACCGATCCAGGAGGCGACGGCGCTGCGACCTGGGTGGAGGAAGCGGTCGAACTTGTGCACGTTGTTGGGGGTGTTGTCGCCAGCGGAGAAGATAGGGTTGACGACCAGACGGCGAGGACCGCATTGGACGACGAGCTGCTCCTTCGACTTCAGGGGCTCCTCGACGCTGGAGTTCAGGTGCATGTTGATGTTGACAACAGTGTGCTTGTGCTCGTGACGGAGCAGAGAGAAGAGGGATGTGGGCTGGGGCCGGCTACGGAGGGTTGCTGGCACTGCCTTGAGGTGCACATCGACACGCACACCAGGGTTGACACCTCCGACGAGAGCCTCGCGGAGGAACTTGTTCCTCGAACCCTTGTAGTCCGCGAACTGGAGCAGGCGGCGCCAGTCCTCCGGCTCGTGGGGACGGTCTTCTGATGTCTCCCAGGGGCTGGTCTTGAAGCTCTTGAGACCTCTGAAGCGAGCCAGACGCTCCCGAGCGAGAACGTTAGGGTGAAGCTCGATTTCGTCAGGGAACTCCAGATCTTCGTTAGCCTCCTTTCTGCGGCTCGCACGGAAATCCTCCAGGTCTTTGGCCTCGTCTTCTGGTGACGGGTCGACGAACATCTCTGACTGGGGATACTCCGATGGGCCAGCCTCCGTCATGGCATCCCTGTTATCGGGGAAGACACCATCTTCGGGCGCTCCCGCGGTGTCCATCTCCATCTCTTCAACTTCATCCTCGTCTTCAAGATCGGAGCCAGAGTCCGACACGTCATCCAAGAACCAAGCGGACTGGTACTCCGAGGTACCCTTGGGTAGCCTCTTAGGCTTCGGGGGGATGTGAGAATCGTCATCGGAGAAGTAGTGGTGGTCGTCCAGGAGCACACCCTTGCGCTCTTCCTCAACAGGGAATTCGTCATCTTCCATCTCAATCTCCTCTGGTGCCACAGTGGCCAAATCATCGCAGTCCGCAGAAGGTCCATCCAACAGCTGGGGAGCCTCAGTCTCATCGACATTCATAGCATCGTCACGCTTCCCGCGGGAAGTAGCGAGTGGTGCTGCTGTGATGGCACCAATCTGAAAATCACCCCATCCGGGGATATGGACCAAGCGGTCCGCCTTCAGGCCCTTGCCGCGGACAACACCGGTGACCACAACATCGTCGACTTCCTGCGCGTTGGTTTCAGGCCACTGAACGTTTTCGACGAACATCCAACTGCGCTCATCACGCCAGCGGATACCCTTGGGTGTAGCTGTGCAGAGGGAACGAATGGCGTTGGAACACTCCTGGCGAGAGTCCACCGAGAGGACCTTTTCGACGGACGGGAAGAAGTGGTTCGCAAAAGACTTGAGAGAAGCTGCCACCTGCGGGCGCTTCTTGGCCGGGTTGATCTGGTCCAAACCCTAGACGAATTCCAGTCAGTGAAAAGGCGACTATCGCCATATGCGAGAAGCCTGAACTCACCTGAACCATGGCAATAACGTTCGAGATACCCTGACCCTCAATGGACCGCAGCAGCAGCTCTCCTTGTTCCTCCACTTCGACCTGGGCGGAAAGCGCCAGGACCACGAAATCGGCCATCCGACACACATCCAGAGCGTTCATCAAGTCATATTTCGCCGGAATGTACTGCAAGCTCTGGCGGAAGCGATCGACACGGACCCGAGTGGCGGAGTCTGGGGAAATTTCCGCGGAAACATCGACACTCTCGTTCAAGGCGCGGATGATGGCAGCCACATCAATATCAACGGAAAGCGGCACAACCGCCACATGACGCGGAGCACCGTTCTGACCGGTGAAAATGCTAACGGACTGCGCCTTCTCCTGATGTTTCAATTGCTGCTTCTGACGAGCCTGGTTCCGGCGATCGAGTTTGGATTTGAGCTGCTGGTGAGGGGTCTTGCGGGTGCCCCGCTCTTGTCCTTCGACCTTGCCTGGATGTATGTCAGTCTATGATGCTATTTCAGAGAAAGAGACACATGAGGATTTCCCCGGCGCACGTACCCTTGGCCTTGTCCTTCAGCGCACTCTTGGAGGCATGGCGAGACTTGTATGGTTTATTGGAAGATTTGGTTGTGGAGCGGTGGTGATGCTGCACCGTCTGGGTGGGCGCCATGTTGGCACCACTGGACCCTTTGAATCGGTACGGAAGAGAGGCCAGCGTGAATATTTAGAAGAGCGAGAATAAAGCGATACACCTAATGCCCGATATCACGAATAATGAAAGAGTGGCCTCTAGAGGGATCTGGACCTGATACTCCGGCGGCGGTTGGAGAGGAAAAAATTAGGCGGTGGAGGAACAAGCGAGGAAAGCAAAGCCGCTCGGCACGGATTTTCATCTTTTGACCCGCAGAAAAAGCTGCCGATGAGCCTCCGTCTACTGCTCTGACTTTTATTGACTGTACGACATTTGCATTATTTGTCGTCTCAAACGAGTTCCTTTATTGGACTTCTGTCTAATTCCCTCATATCTTACTCACCTCCTCATCGACACACCACCCCCATGGCGGGACCAACATCGACGGCCGTTGCGCCGGCCGACAACAAGCGCAAAGAAAGCAAAAGAGTGATGGAAGCGCAAAAGACCTACGGCCGGGGTAAATCCATCCACACCCACAGCATTCGCGACAAAAAACTGCGCAGCAACCTCAAAGCCGTGGAAGACAAGTACAAGGAGGCCGCCCTGAAGGCCAAGGATGCGGAGATTTTGCTCGAGCACGATGCCGGATTCCTCGAGCCCGAGGCAGAGCTGGAAAGGACGTACAAAGTTCGACAGGATGAGATTCGCGAAAGTGTCGGCATCGAAACGGCCAAGAAGGGATTCGAACTCAAGCTGACCGATATGGGACCCTACCGCATGGACTACACAAGGAATGGTCGCGAATTGTTGTTGGCCGGGCGTAAAGGGCATGTGGCGACGATGGACTGGCGGAATGGAAAGTTGGGATGCGAGTTGCAATTGAACGAGACTGTGCGCGATGCTCGGTGGCTGCACAACAATCAGTTCTTCGCCGTGGCGCAGAAGAGATCCGTCTATATCTACGACCATGCCGGTGTCGAACTGCACTGTCTCAACAAGCATCTCGAGCCTCTTTTCCTTGAATTCCTGCCCTACCACTTCCTTCTTGCGAGCGCTGTAAGTGCACCTGCTTCCCAATTTACAACCACAGACAGAACTCATACTAACCATCTCCTCGTAGCAAATGAGCGGCTACCTCAAATACACCGACACCTCAACCGGTCAAATGGTCGCCGAGCTGCCCACCCGCCTCGGTGCTCCCACCTCCCTCGCCCAGAACCCATGGAACGCCATCCTACACGTCGGCCACCAAAACGGCACAGTGACTCTCTGGTCTCCCAACTCACAAACGGCGCTCGTGAAGGCCCTTGTCCACCGCGGCCCCGTCCGCTCGATGGCTATTGACCGCCAAGGCCGGTACATGGTATCGACCGGCCAAGACCAAAAGATGAACGTCTGGGACATCCGCATGTTCCGCGAAGTACATAGCTACTCGTGCTACCAACCGGGCGCCTCCGTCTCCATTAGCGACCGGAACCTCACAGCCGTGGGCTGGGGCACGCAAGTCAGCGTATGGCGGGGTCTCTTCGACGCCGCGGCCGCCGACCAAGGCAAGGTACAGAGTCCCTACATGGCCTGGGGCGGCGACGGCCAACGCATCGAGAACATGCGCTGGTGTCCTTTCGAAGATGTTCTCGGTGTGGGCCACGACCAAGGCTTCGCCAGCATCATCGTCCCCGGCGCCGGTGAACCCAACTTCGACGCCCTGGAGGCCAACCCGTACGAGAACACCAAGCAGCGCCAGGAAGCCGAAGTGCGCGGTCTGCTGAACAAGCTGCAACCGGAGATGATCTCTCTGGACCCCAACTTCGTCGGAAAGCTCAACACGATCAGCGACAAGAAGAACCGCGAGGAACGCGATCTCGATCGCAGACCCGAAGACCCCATGGAGAAGCTCAAGAACCGTGGTCGTGGTCGCAACAGTGCGTTGCGCAAGTATCTCCGCAAGAAGGGTCGACGCAATGTCATCGACGACAAGCGCGTCAAGGCCGAGATGTTGCGCAAGGAGCATGCTGCTCGCCACAAGGAGAAGTTGCGCTCCGAGAGGGAGAATTTGGGTCCCGCGCTGGCGAGATTTGCCAAGAAGGAGATTTGATCTTCTTCTTTTTCTTCTGTCGAGGACGACTGCACTTGTGTTTAGTATTCTTCTTGTCGTTCTGCTGCTACTGCTACTGCTGCTGGAGGACGACTTTCAGATACCCTGCTTTAACTATCTAACCATCGCGCGAGAGGATTTTTCTGTTTCCTTTCTCTCTCTCCCCCATCTTTATTGTCGTCTGTGTGTCACGATCCTTCTTTCGAGCAACTGGTGTGCGTCTGTTTGTCTGCATTATAAGGGCGTTTGTTGGGGTGAGATACAAAACCGGACATGTTGGGAATGTATGTATATCAAATCAAAAGTTTCACGATAGACCACCAACCTTCTTCACCAATGAACAAGAAACAAACGAACAAATAGAATAACTGAAATTTTCTTTTATATGATAATAATAACATTAAATCAAAATCACGCATCATCCACACTCCCAGACCCCTCTTCGCACCAGCCTTCCACCTCGCCAAACTATGTTCATACGCACCGCTCGCCTTCCAACTACTCAAAATCAGATTAACAATATCCTGGACTCTCGTCCCACTCTTAACCACAGCAAACACCGTCGGTCCACCCTCTCTCATCTTAGCCGCATCCCTCTCCATGACCGCCAAATCCGCACCGACGGCCTCAGCCAGATCGATCTTGTTCACAACCAGCAGATCCGAGCCCGTGATACCGGGTCCACCCTTGCGGGGCACCTTATCACCACCAGCGACATCAATCACGTAGATAATGAAGTCAGCCAGCTCGCGACTGTAGTTAGCGGCGAGGTTGTCGCCTCCGGATTCGATGAGGAGGAGGTCGGTCTGGAATTGTCTGTGCAGGGATTGCAGAGCCAGGAGATTGGCGCTGATGTCTTCGCGGACGGCGGCGTGAGGGCAGCCGCCGGTTTCGATGGCGCGGATGCGGGACGGCGAGAGGGCTTTGTGGCGGGTGAGGAATTCGGCGTCTTCTCTGTTTTGAGGTGGAAAGGAGGATTGGGTTAGTTTATTACTGCCTGTCGGTGGTGGATGGGGAGGGGTTGTATGTATACCTGGTGAAGATGTCGTTGGTGACGGCGGCGATGTTGTACTCGTCGCGGAGGGCCTGGCAGAGGGCCAGCATGAGGGCAGTTTTGCCCGATCCGACGGGTCTACATGGATGAGTTAGACGGAAGATGAGGATGGATGTGAGGGTAGCTTACCCTCCAATGCCAATGGTAAAGGCACGGTCCTTCCAGTCACGCTCCTCCGAGAGAGGCATCTCGCGGTTTATGTATGAACCGGGACCGTCGAGGATCTCGTGGGAATGGCCGTGACCACCGAAATCATCGTGGGAGTGGCTGACGTCGTTGTCGTGAGAGTGGGAGTGAGACATGGTGAGATATTTTGAGGGATGGTAAATGAAGTATGAAAAGAAAGAAGAGAAGGTGGAGGGAGGAGGGAGAAGGAAAGAAAGTAGTAGTGGATGGAGGGGTCACTCACATTGGGAGGGGAGCCCCAGGCCGGAGACTGCCGATGCCGATGCCAGGCGCAGTATTTAGTGGAGAGTCCCCGCCAAACTAGTAGTCGGATGTTCGGTACCACGTATTATTCGAGAATGAGAGGGAAAAAAAGATAGTAGTAGCAATAATAGTAGGAAATGCATTGCTCTTCCACACGTACAGTAGTAACAATAGTAACGGCAGCAACTATCAACACAGAATTATTTCCAGGGAGGTAGAACCGGACGCCGGAGCACTTCAATCGCCCATGATAAAAACGTGGATATCAAAAATCCTGCAACGCTCAACTTCAGGATATGTGTCAACCGCACCTCAATCTCCGCGCGGCACAGCACATGCAGATAGGGACATCAGTCAAGAAATACGGCAAAATCAGTAAGCCCAACGCAAATCCACATAACACGCATCTCCATCTTTCGCATGAGACATCAAAGGGGAACGCAATCGGCAGCTATGTTCAACATATAACAGGAATCCCGCAGATGGTTCGGAACGCAGAAGTAGAGCCTCGCACATAGGTATCCTAAAGGTACGCCATATTCCCGCCGAGTGAGACTGAAAGAGAAAAGAGTTCAGAAGTAGAAAAAGAGAAGACACGAGCGCACCCAAACCAGCGGCAGACAATATTACTGGCTGATCGAGCTAGACAACTTAACCACCCCCCTTCTGCTTTTTGGCCCCTACTCGAGGACTGGCCTTGACTTTGGGGGCAGCTTGGCCGGCTGTCCCATTAACCTCGCCGCCGTTGTCATCGTTTTCCATCTTCACGGTGCTAGCCCGACGGCGCTTGTTGTTCACATTGGGACTTGCGCTCGCACTGGTCCCCTGCGCCATATTGCCTTGTACTTGACCCTGGGGAACCATTCCTGGCGGTCCTGCGAGGTGACTCTGTGCGGGACTGGGATGCGCGGAGCCGGTTAGATGAGGCGAGCCCTGAGCGCCCGGTAGGCCGAGATGAGTCATGGCAGGAGATGCAAATTGGTTAGGCATGCTCATACTGGGAGCCCGTGGCTGGCCTTGCTGTAGGGCCGGGTTCATGGGACCCTGCGTATAAGCTGCATTGGGAGGCGGCGCCTGCATCGTGTTCACCAGAGTCCGCAGGGCTTCGGAAGGTGTTAAGTGGGGATTTTGCTGGGAGAATTGGAATAGGACTTGCATGTGAGAGATGGTTTCCGCAACCTATAGCACAGGAGTGTCAGAAGAGTACTTTTATAGCGATTACGTGGAAGGGCTTACCTCAAGGAAACTCATCACAGCCGTGGGGACGCCATTCGGAGTAACCATGGATTCGGGCAAGGTAAATGCAGGCTGTTGTGCTTGTTTGGCCTGGGCGCGTTTTCCCATGTTCTTGGACACCTTGGGACTTTGTTTCTGTTGATCAGCCAGTTCCAGAGCCTGTAGCTGACTCCTAGGCAGGTATTCGTTGTGGTCCAGCACCGCGATATCGAGCATCTCAATCTTGTTGTTCATATCGAAATGGGCCGTCATGTTCGCGCGCGCAAATAGCTAGTCCACATCAATATAACAGCGTATATTAGGAAGAACAAGGGCCGCGCATGCATACCTGACTTCCATTCGCGAACCAATAGATGAAAGCAGTCTTCGCACTCTCAACTATGTGGCCTCCGTTCGGCGAATCCCTCTCCCGCGCTCCATCAACCAACATCTGTATATGCTTGATCCCACTCGTACACTGGGTCAAGTAATAACGCGCCAAAGCAGGAGTGGCGATTTCAAACTGCTTGGAGGAATTTGCTTGTGGGTTACAGACGGTGTGTCTCAGAACACCACCTGGCGAATAGAATCTCAGCACAAAATTGTGCCATTGGTTGTAATCGGTGCTCGCGTTCTCAGTGCCCTATTAACAGTTAGTACTCGGCCAGGAGGACATAACGAGCCAAAAATTGTCAATTTGACATACGGAGATGTAGCTGAGGCTTTCGGCAAAGGAGTTGAGCTGCAGGATGGCAGCGCCTTTCATGTTCATCCGTTGCTGTTGCTGCTGCATCATCATGGCGGTCGGATTTTGCTGCTGTTGCGCCTTGATCTGGGCTTCCTGAGCAGTCATCGGTGGCTGTTGTTGACCCTGCTGTGGACCCTGCTGGTTAGGTTGAGGTTGAGGTTGGGCTTGGGCAGCTTGCGGCGCTTGTGGTTGCTGGCCCGGTTGCTGAGCCTGCGGCAGCTGTTGCGGAGGTGGATTGGGAGTAGGTTGCGGCTGAGGAGCTGCCGGCTGCTGTTGCGGTGGTTGTGAGGTAGGTACCGGCGGAGGATTGGGTTGAGGGGTGGCACTCCCCTGGTGTGGCGGCGGTCCCGGCTGAGGTTGAGGAGTGACACTCTGGGCATCGTGCACGTTCTGGGGTTGTGCCGCTGCACGCTGCTGGGGCGTCTGCTGGCCGGGCTGCCCTGCGGCAGCCGCCTGTTGGATCTGAGCCTGGTGCGCTTGTTGCTGGGCTTGCTGCATAGCAAAGAATTGTTGTTGTTGCTGCTGAATATTTTGCGGCTGTCCATGGGGCATTTGTTGAAGTTGCATTTGCAGATTCACCGGGCGCATAGCAGGATTCGCCTGCATGGCAGCGATCTGAGCTGCATTGAGGGCGGGTGCCCCGTTCGGTAGCTGCACTGGTAACCCGCCGTGCTGTTGCTGTTGCTGTTGCTGTTGATGTTGAAGCATCATACGCTGCCTGAGATATTGCTGCTGCTGGTGCTGCTGCAGGAGTTGAGGGTTATTGGCAACTAAGTGATGCATAGGTTAGCACGCTATAACATGAGGAAAGGAACGATACAAACGGGGGAAAAAGCAATGAGGATAAACCGTTCAAGACGGCGGCGGAAAGGGGGTCGCCCTGGGAAAAGAGTCTGGGAAACATACATTGTTGTGCAAAATGCGGCTGCTGGAACATGTGCGCTTGAGCAGGGCCAAGATGCGAGAGGGCATGAGCCTGTACAGCACCCCCCGGACCAGTTGTGCCAGCGCCCGGAGGCATCCCACCCATCACCGGTCCGCCTTGACTAACCTGAGGACCTCCTGGTGCCGACACGCCGGGATGCACCTGCTGGACCATGCCAGCACCGGGATGAGCATTGGGATGTTGACCGGGAGCCATTGGATGACCTGGAGGCAAACCGGGATGCTGTGGGATGCCTTGATGGGCAGGAAACGTTTGCGCCATCATCATGTCGTGGTTACGAAGTC